GGATGATGTGGAATCCTACCTTGATTGGGAGATGAAGGTAGAGCAACTCTTTGCTTGCCACAGGTGAGTGAAGAGAGAAAAGTACTACTTGCAACCCTTAGCTTTCAAGGGAATGCAATGTATTGGTGGACCTCTTTGGAAAGAGAGAGGCGCCTCCATAATGATCCTCCTATCCAATATTGAAATGATCTTAGGAGTGCATTGAGGAGGAGACACATTCCTTATTATTATGGAAGGGAGCTTATGAATAAGCTCCAAAGGCTCCAACAAAAAGATATGACTGTTGAGCAATATAGGCAACAAATGGAGCTATACATGATGGGGCATGTATTAGAGAAGAGGAAGCCACCACTGTAGCTAGATTCCTAAGTGGTCTTGACTTTGAGATTAGAGACCAAGTGGAGCTACTACCCTACAGGGACCTAAATGACTTGGTCCAACTTTGTGTAAGGGTAGAAAAACAAATGTTAAGAAAATCTTCTTCTAGAAAAGAAAGCTCCCACTCTAGATCTCATATGAAAGACTACATGGAGGAGGAAAAATCTTTTGAGAATAAAAATATTTTAGAACCCTCCAAGGAATTAGCTAAGAATAAATAAAAGAGTAGAGATAAGGGTAAAGGTGCCATCACTCCACACACTAGCACAAAGACTAGTGATATCAAATGTTTCAAGTGTCTAGGGAGAGGTCACATTGCTTTTCAATGCCCTACAAAGAAAGTCATGATCTTAAGAGGGCATGACACTTATAGTAGTCAAGAAAAGACTACCTCTTCAAGTGAGAGTGAGGATGAAACAAGACATCAAACGTTCAATGTGGAGTCAGTTTATCCTTATGAAGGAGAACTTCTAATGCTTAGGAGAATCCTTAATAGTCAACCTAGTGGTACTCTATCTCAAAGAGAAAACATTTTTCATACTAGATGTAATGTTTTAAATAAATCATGTTCTCTCATTATAGATAGTGGTTCATGGTGCAACTGTTGTAGCACTAGGTTGGTTAAAAAGTTGAGTTTAATTACTATGCCACACCCTCAACCTTATCATTTACAATGGCTTAATAAGGATGGAGAAATAGTAGTTAGTCAACAATTGAAGGTCAAGTTTTCCATTGGGAAGTATGATGACCAAGTTTTATGTGATATAGTACCAATGGAAGTTTGTCATATTTTGTTAGGAAGACCATGACAATTTGAAAAGAAAACTATACACAATGGTCTTACTAATGAAATTAGCTTCATTCATAAGGAAAAGAAATTTGTGTTTTATCCTCTCTCACCTCAACAAGTGGCTGAGGATCAAGCACAAATGAAAATCAAAAGAAAAGAAGAAAAAGGAAAAAAGAAAGCACTTTATGTAGGGAAGAGTAAAGAGGAAGAAATGTCCTCTAAGGGATTTGTGACTAAAAGGAATTATTTTAGTATTAAAAATCCTATGAAGAAAATTCTCTTTATTCATAAAGATCTTAATTATTGCCCTTATGCTGCCACTAGTCTTGAAGAGGAGATTCACAAATCAATTATTTTTAAAGAAAAAGAATGTCAACTTCAAGATTTAGTGAAGAAGAAGTGGACTTCACATAGTCCTACTTCTTGTACTACTTCCTTGGTGGTGCCCAAGATAGCTAGCCTTCCTTTGTGTAGGACTCTTCCTACTTTAGTTGTTTTAATAAAGCACCCAATTCTTGGAATATATTATTTGTTGGACACAACATATTAACTTTCAAGGTTCCTTATGACAAATCCTTTTCATAACTATCCAACAAATAATATAATCCAAAATTGCTTAGGAAATTTTCTAGTAATATTTTTCTTATTTTTTTAGGAAATGCCTAGGTTACCACATAGGGTACTTTAGGCAAGATGTTCTAGTTTTTAGGATTATGTCTTTAATGTGTTATAGTCTTAGTTTTAGTACATTTTTAGGGTTTAACGTATCTAGACTTTGTTTAGGAGAGGATCTTATTCATTATTCTAGAAAGTCTAATATCATTAATTTCTTTATTACGTTCTATGAAAGGATTCCTCTTACGATATACCTTTCACATTTATTGATTGACAATGTCACCTGTAATGAATGATATTATATATTTGTAGGTGTGGATGACTATCATGAAGACTCTCGAGATTTGAGGTCAAATCATTTTCAAGAGGGAGGGGATGATAGAAATATGCCAAGGCCAAGAAATCTAAGAGGTGATACTTTAAAGGAACCAAGAGGAATGGGATGATCTTGAAGACCTTTTCATATGTTTGTAAACATAGTAGTTACTTGTATAGGTTTATTTTGCCTTTATATTTGTAAGGCATTTTGTTTTCTTTTTATAGACTGTTGTATATTGTTTTCAGGGTAGGTTCCTTGGAGATTTTTACTCCATTTGACCTTGTATTAACGGTCACCATTTTTACATTTTTCAGTAGTAGAAGTGGGGTGGCAAATAGCAAGGCATGAAGGTGTGGTTAGCAATTGGGTCAGAATTGGGCCCAGGCAAAATTTTACATATTAAACTTGTTATGCTCCATTTGACCTTGTATATTGTTTTTAGGGTAGGTTACTTGGAGACTTTGACTCCATTTAACCTTATATTGAAGGTTACTCTTTTTTTATTTTTTCAGTAGTAGAAGTGGGGTGACGATTAGTAATGCTTGAGGGTTTGACTAGGAATTGGGCTAAAAATGGGCCTAGGCAAAATTTTACATATTGGACTCATTTTGCTCCTATTTTTTCATGGATTTGATTTATCTAGGTATAACCATTTTTGAATGGACCTAGGTAAACCAATCCAAACAATTTTAAAAACGGGTTTGGTGAGCAAAATAGCCTAAGGCCGCCTAGCTTGCTCTTGGCTCCTTATTTGGCCAAAATTGCTTCTTCCTTCTTCAAGCTTGGGAAGCTTGTGCTACAAGCTTTTCCTTAGCTTGTTTCCCAAGCAAGCTAAGTGAGAAACTTTCTCCACAAGCCTCTTAACTAGATTAGATGGTCAAACAACTAAACCATGGTTCACTTAAACCATGGTTAAAGTTAGCTTGCTTCCTAAGCTACCTCCTTCAATAAATTTGTAACTCTTACCTTTTTCCTCACTTTGGATGAATGAAATCAGAATTTCTAAAAGAATTCTCTGTTCTCAAAGTCTCTTGGCCGTGGAGAACTTTCTCTCCTAGTTCCTTCACAAAGGTTTCCACCTTTGTGCCTTGGAACCTTGTCTCCTTCTACATCTTTAAGGAGTTACCGAACCTCCTTGATTGCTTCTCCACCATTGAAGCTTCTTCAAGGTGTCTTCATCACTTTGGCATGTCAACCTCAAGAGGAGAAAGGTGTTGGACGGAGGAACTTGAAAAACATCAACCATTCTTCAAGTCACTTCCATTATTCCTACAACAGCATCATACCACAATTGTGGTGTGAATGGAAATCACAGCCTTTATTGCATTGCAACCGTGTTGTGTTATCAAAGTCATCTGTAAAATCTATTTTTTTCACTTTTTAGTTTAAAAAAAATAAAAGATGAGAAAATCTTTCCAAAGGATCCTGAAATCTAAACTCCAATATCGAATCTTCCCCTCCTCTATTGCTTGTGCCCTATTCTGTGGCTTGTTTCCTTTTTTGTTTTAATATGTGTTTTGAATTTTGAACCTTGTGAGCTCGTGGGAGACTAGGGCTGAGGTCAAGGGATAATGGAATGGCTCAATTTGTAGGTTCTAGAACTTTTTAACTTTCATTTTTTTTAGTGAGAGCATTACTAATTGTTTATTTAAATTTAAATGGGAAAGTGGTCATTTGTGGTTGAGCGGCTAAAACACATAATCACAAATTACAGAGACATGAATTGTTTAGATGATATGGATGGTATTTGGGATTCTAATCTAAAATGAACATAAGTAAAATTATGATGTTTTTAATTAGAATGTGAACATGGGTTGGATTGTTGGAAATTTTGAATTTAAACTTTTTAATTAAAATGATAAGAAAGGATTAAATTATGGAAGGATTTTAGGGAATCATTGACAATGTCAACTTGCGTTGTTAGTGAAAAATTTAGGAAGAGGAAAAGTTAATTTACTAAGAATTTTTAGACAAAGAATTAAAAAATGTACACACCTTATAAAATAAAGATATTAAATATATTAATAGTGATAATTTTTCTATATTTAATACACATATTTAATAAATTCACGCCGCAATTGTGACAACCCACTTTGCAATGATTGCAATATCTACAATTGTAATGACCACAATTGTAACTGCAACCACAATTTAGAACCATAGTTATCAACTTTGGAATATTGAATAAACCGTGTTAATTAAGACTTAGATACCTGGAAGATCCAACCCAAAAAACTAGTCCAATAGGTGAGAGAATCTCAAGGTTTAAGTATCACATTGAACTTCTTATTATATTTAATGTGAGACTCCTAACATTATAGTTCTCTTTCGATCTATAAACACTAACCTAACAATAACCATTTTTCTTTGACACTTTTACTCACCTATCACTATTACTTTTGTACCTTAATCCAGTTTATGAATAGTTCTTTTCACAGTCCAAATCTCAATGGAAGAACCAATTATTAGGATATAAACACATGAGAAGAGTCCAACTTATTCTACTTGATGTAAGACTTCTAACAATGTCCATCAACCAATCAAAGACTCACAATATGGATGAGGCTTCATCAGTTGAAGACAGAGACGCGGAACTTCCCCACGTAGCAAGACCCGCATACATTCTGTTTAGAAAATGGATTGGGGAAAGATGGTTGAAAAATAGTGTCTTTCTATGCATTCAACTATTCAAGCAATATGCATTTTCCAGAACAGTATCTCTATCACTGACTGGAAATGATACTTCAAGCAATGCAGATAAAAATTCATATTCATATCAGCAAATTGCCTGCATGAAATTATTTTTGACCCTTCATTAGATGCAATCAGTAGCAACAAACTTTTCAAACAATGCAAGACATAGTAAGTAGTAATAATTTTAACTTATATGTCATTCCTAAGGCAACGATCAAGTCTCATATGATGTTTGGGTTGAATTTTCAATAAATGAATTGACATGCTGAAGGACTCTTAAGTAATCCTTACCAGTTTTCCTTATCCAACAAACATCATTTGAAATCATACATCCATGATCATACCCCCCGTAGAGAAAATACATAATTCTACAAACACACCCATGTCTCCAATTTCTGAAATTATGAATTGATCCAATTAAATCATGAAAAAGAGGATAAATTAAATTTGTTTGGAAAAGTTAGTTATATATACCTTTCTTGGCCAGCGGTGTCCCATATCTGAGCCTTGACGGTCTTGTTATCAATGATGAGAGTTTTAGTCTGAAACTCAACCCCAATGGTTGCCTTGGAATCGAGGCTGAATTCGTTCCTAGAAAAGCGTGCAAGAAGTTGAGTTTTTCCAACTGCGGAGTCCCCAATCAACACCACCTTGAACACGTAATCAATCTTTTGGCTATAATCCCCGTACAGATTCGACATCCTCACAATATCCCTAACCCACATGCATCAAATTCTAATTAACCGCTATATAATGGGATCAATCATCATTGATTCATTTATAAAAAATTCGATAATCAACGCAGAAGCGCCACGTTCCATCTTTCTTTTTAACAAGCAAAACCGGGGAAGAATAAGGACTGGTGCTTGGGGTGATGAATCCTGAATCCAACATTTTCTGTACTTGTAACTCAATTTCTTGCTTTTGGAAGTGGGGGTATCGGTATGGTCTAACCGAGATGGGTGAAGTGTTTGGTAATAAGGTGATGGAATGGTCAGTGTAGCGGGATGGTGGGAGGGTGGAAGGGGTGGAGAAAAGGAACGAGTATGTGGTGATTAATGTTTGTAACGGTGGGATAGAGGTTGAAGGAAGTAGAGGTGCGTCAGAAGAAGGTGTTGAGGAAATGGAAAAAAAGTGGAGACTGGGGTTTGGTTCTAGAATGAGTTGGAAAAGGGCTTCCACTCTATTGGTGTGTTGCAGGCGTTTTAATTGATGGGCGGATATTGGAGTGGGATTCGGTCCTTGGTCTCCGTTAAGTTCCACCATCTTGTTTTCCCACATAAATCTTATGAAAGGCCCATTATAATCCATGGTGAATGGGCTGATCTGTGTGAGCCAGTGAACACCAAGGACAATATCAGTGCCCGAGAGGTCCAAGGGGTAGAGGTCAATGGGGAATTGTAGGTCAGCAATAGTGATGGGAATTTTAGGGCAGAAGGTGGTGCAGGGCAAAAAATCTCCATTGCCAACCATTACTCTTAATGGACAAGGTGTGGGCTCCAAGTGGAGATTTAAGAACTGGGCCACCTTAGTTTGGATAAAATTATGTGTAGCACCACTATCAACCATAATCTGAACCTCGTAGCCATTGATGGACCCAGTAGTTCTGAAGGTTCGCGGGGTCCATTGACCCGAAAAAGAATGAAGGCTAATCAAACCCGCTTCCAGAGGTGGGTCAGCCAATGGGTCAGGCTCCGGATCAATGTCAAGGAGAAGATCAATGTCGTCAGATTGATCAGTCCCGACAAGGAGAAGGAATTGAGTCTTACAACGATGGCCACGTGTATATCGTTCATCACAGTTGTAACACAAATTCTTATCCCGACGAGCCTGCATTTCAGTCTCCGTAAGACGTTTAATGGGAAGTTTGGTGGTTGGTGTAGGAAGGAGTGGAGGAAGTGGTTTAGTCATCGGTGAGGAAGGTGGTGGTCTGGGAAAGTTAGAGAATGGGAATGGTTGAAGTTTAGACTTATCATCGTGGAGTTTAGCGAATGCAACCGCTTGTGGCATGTCGGTGGGTTGTAAGGCAGTGACCTCTCGGCGGAGATGGGGCTTGAGGCCAGAGATGAAACAACTGAGATAGAAGCTTGCGGGGTAACCGGAAATGCGGTTAGCAATGGATTCAAATTCTGAGATGTAAGCGGTGAGAGAGTGGACCTGGGAAAGCTTGCACAGGGCAGCGATTGGATCCTCAAACTTTGATGGTGCGAAACGCAGTTCCAAGGCGCGAAGAAAGGCATCCCATGACGTGAGGAGACCGTTCTTGTGCATCCACTGGTACCATGCAAGTGCTGGACCTTCAAGATAGAAGGAAGCAATTTGTGTTCTCTGGTCCGGTGGTGTCATGTGGAAATCAAAGAACTGCGTTATTTTGAAAATCCAGCCTAGTGCGTCTTCACCGTTAAAGGATGGGAGGTCAAACTTGATGGGGCGTGGTGGGGGGGGTGGTGAGGTGATTTTGGATTCCATGAAGGAGGTGCGTGCAGCGATGTCATGGAGGGTATTAGAGAAGTTGGCTTGGGCAAGGAGAATTTGTTCAAGCTTTTTTTCAAGAGAGGAAATGGAGTCAGAGGAGTCAGCCATGGGAGGAGGCTCAACGAAAGCACCAATGAAAGGGGAATGCACAGAAAGAGAAAATGGAATAATCAGAAGAAAGAGAGATTATCAGAGAGAATTGAGGCAAAAACTATCATTGTTGTCTTATTCCATCATCATTTCTGCCTATAAAGTGCCATACGCACTACATGCAACATAAAAAAGGAATCAACGTTTGTTAGTCGTGCTCCTATATTGCCTAACTGCTCCTTGCAAGGTTGCCACGTGGTTAATTGGTTACGTAGTCTTTGAGCCAAAAGGGTTTGTTCCTAATTCTCTGAGTTCTGGTACCGGTTTCTAGGCTTTCTTGTGCATGTTGATTTTCTATGCTGGGCTCCACGTTTGTGGTATCAGTAATGGGCCTAACAGTTGCAATGTATGACTTTCAACTAAATTATTTAAACGAAGTTAATTGTTGGTTACGTGGCATACACGTGGATGCCACGTATATGCATAGGTGGATGTCACGTGGATGCCAATTTTTTTGAAAACACTTAGAACCAGAATGGCCCGATCTGAAACCAGAATGGCCCGTTCTGAAACCAGAACGGGCCGTTCTGAGTTCACTCTTAGTGTGTTAATTTTGCATCTGAAACGGCCTGTTCCAGGTGCAAAATTAACACACTAAAAGTGCAACCAGAACGGGTCGTTCTGGTTCCACACTGTTAAACACAAACTATCAATGATTATGGTTCACGGTTGTGAATCGTGGAAGGAAAAAGACCCAAAGTACAAAGTATTTCAAACACTGGATTTGGTAATATTGTCAATGGAAATTGATAACTTCAATTGCTAAATAGTTGGGCTATACAATATATCATTAAGGACACTGCAGTGTATCACTAAAGACAATGGTAACAACAGATTTTATTTCATTGTTAGTCAAACTGGAGTGAACCACTTATTACCAAATTGACACTATACAATAAAGGATAAAATGACATGGTATTTTTTCTTGAAGTCATTAACGATGTACCCCAACAATAACAACCTGTTTTTGAAGAGGTAGAACCTGAATTAAAGGAATAAGATACACAGAACTAACATTTCACCACACAACCACATGCAGGGACGGATCTAAATTAATCATAGTGGGGGCACTTGCCCCCACTAAAATTTTTTTCATTATTTTTTTTATATATAAAATATTAATAATTTTATAAAATATATATTATTAATTATATTTTAATTATCTTGTTATATCTAATATAATAAATACATTAATATTTTTTTATATTTTATTTTATTGTTTAATTATTTTTTATTTTGTGGTAAAATTATCTTCATTTTTAATGAAGAAAAAATTTACTTACTTTAAGATTAAGTCTTGATAGATTTATTTTACTTAATAATTAATGTTCTATATCAAATTTTTAAAAATTTAATTGTTAAATTAAAAATCTTTTCATATATTGATCAAATTTATATAAAAAATTTTAAAAAATTAAAAATCATATGATACTTCGTTAAATTAATTCAAAATAACATATAAAATATTTTTGTTTTAAATGAGTAAAGATTTAGATGACACTAAAAGAAAACAAATTAATAATTTTATTATATTTATCCTATTAATTTTTATTATTTTATTCCTTTAATTTTAAATAAGTTGCAAAAAATTATTAAGTGACACTTAAATATTTCTTCAAACAGAAAGTGAAAAAGGAAAAGTTATCACTCTATTTATAAGACAATTGTATTTTATAAAAATAAGTAATTTTAAAATTTTTATCATAAAAAAATATTTTTCAAAATTATTATAGTTCTGGAACGGGCTGTTCTGCATCCAGAATGGCCCGTGCTGAAACCAGAACGGGTCGTTCTGGTTTCAAATCGGGTCGTTCTTTTGTACTCGTGGTATGTTAATTTTGCATCTGGAACGACCCGTTTCAGATGCAAAATTAACACACCAAGTGTGCACCCAAAATGGCTCGTTCCAGTTTCAGAACGGACCGTTCTAGTTCCAGGTGTTTTCAAAATATTTGGCATCCATGTGGCATCCACTTGGCCAACAGTTAACTTCGTTTAAATAATTTAGACGGAAGTCCCACATTGCAATCAATTAATTTATTAGGGACCAAATTGAGACAAAAAATAAAAGTGAGACTAAATTGAAACAAACAATTATTATAAGGGACAAAAATAGATTTTTAGCCTTTTATAAAAATCTATGAATGTTGTGAGATTTATTAAAATAATAATATTTTTTATCTACTTCTCTTCTATTTTTCTCTTATTTATTTTAATTTAAACATCCTAAAAATCTATCCATTTTTAACCCATCCTCTCTTCTTTCCTATTTCTTTCTACCCTACTTTTTTGTCACACTTTATTGTTTACCCAAACAAATCATTATTAAATAGTAATTGCAATTAATAACAAATTACTTATTAGAAGAGAAGATTGCTTGCACAACTAAATATGGTATTATATATTATAAATTATTGCTAACATATGTCTAAAACAATTCCAATAAGAATAATTCACTTAAATTGTTTAATACATTTAAAATTATGATTGGTGATCCTTTTATACCATGTCATGTTAAACAACCCATACTTAATTTTATTTTAATAGAATAAATTTTAAAAACTTAAAAAAAAATTATAATTCCATATTTTTTTTAATTATGTCAGTTACTTAGTAATTTCTATTGGGTTCAAAATATAGTTTGGATGATAATAGGAGAGATGGTCTAATTTAGTCACTCACCTAATTCTGAGGAGATGTCTTTATTCTTTTCCTCTAGTCACTAGACATTGAAGCAATCATAAATCTTAATCATAGTCCTTACCTTACGCACTTGTTCCCTTCCGTGCATGGATAATGTAAATCATAATAATAGAAAACCTAGTTGTTTCAAATTTGTCCGGTAAAAGGAAAAAAAAAAACTATATTGCCCAAAGATGGGAACTCTATTAAACTAGTATTCTTTTTTCACACACAAACAAGAAATCATAAACTTTAATGAATATTTCACCTAACCTGGTTTGAAAGTGTGTCATTGAACTTCAAAGTTAAGCAATGCATTTAATTATATATATATATTTTTTAAAAAGCATAATTTTCATTGAGTTATAAATTATTTGACAAAGGCATTCATTCCGCTGGGCATATTATCGAGGTTCTCGGTGAATTGACAATTCGTGATGCATGATTAATATTGGGGTGGTACAATATTAATTGTGGGCTCCACAATTAAAAAAAAAAACTAGTAATATGTAATAATTTAAACATAATGCACTGAAAATGTATATGTACTTTCCACTCTAAGAAAACTAAATAATTAACTTTATCTGGGAAGTGAAACATAATAATATAAATAATCATAATAATATAGACAATACAGTTATTAGTTTCAATGCTTATGCAGTGATTTTAAAAATAAAAAAAAATTCAATGAAACAACATAATTTGTTAGTGGGATATTTTGATCCATTGAAGAATGATTAATTACATGAATTTCTTTTGTTGGTGGTGAATTATTTGAACATGCATCAATTAGTATTCTGGTGGGCCTTCATTGCCAAACACTGTTTTCCTTTCGGCTTCTAAGAAACAAGAGCAATTGAATGTAATGGGCCAAGCCTACAATGTTGTTCACCACTATATGTATATATTTTCGACATTGACTAGTTTTCCTCTTTATTTTTTTGTTTCTTTTCCATATTTTATTGCATTTTGGTTCCTATTGTGAAGTGAGCTGAATATAATTAGGAGCAGTGGACAGTGGTAATAATGATGGTTGTGGGTTGTGACCAAATTCAACTTAATGACATGAACTAAGGCAATTCGATTATGATAGTTTGTGTATTTCTTCATCATAATGTTCCCCTTTTTATACTTTTCTTCCGACGTTGCTCTAGTTTTCTGCTGAAACATGTCTCTTCCTGTTATTAATGTCAATGATTAAAGGAGAACAAAGAAATGTGTAAAATACTAGTATATATATCCTTTTAAGTTTCATTGTGGAGAAAAATAAATATTAAAAAAAACACATGGCATTGATAATATTTTAAGAAGGTCATACTTTATGCCTTTTTTTTTCGTTTACCAACAAAATCTAATAATTGGTCTTTTATGCATCTCTATCAGGCTTCAATTTTTAGTTGTGTATAAAAAAAATGTTAAAAAGATGAAATTTACTTTTAATGCACATTTTATCATTTTAGAACTGTATATTTGTCTGCAAATCAAAATCATATTATCAACAAGTAGTTGAATACATTTCGAATTTCCTTTAAATAAGATATTGAATTAAAATTTTATGAGTTAAATCTATCACATCACGAATATTTCTAATGTAAATTAAATTGTCTTATGTAGAGGATAGCAATGATTTTAGATAGAGTAAAATAAATAAATAAATATTTTTATTATATAAATTTATTTATTTTATTTTATTTTATTATTATTTTATTAAATAAGCAATTGACATGATACTATTAAAAGATATGATTGGTTGTCGTATTGATGATCAACTCTTATTATATTACCAAAAAGCAAGAACGAAAAAAAAAAATAACATTGGACTCAATATTAGCAAGCCTGTAGCCCATAGAAGACTAGTTCCGACTTAATCCACCAATATTGGGCTCACCATGGCCTGGCCTGGCCTACTTTTTTTGGGCCTAGTTAAAGCCCAAATGTCCCGATCCGCTCTGCGACCCGTCCAATTCTATTTGAACACCCACCACCGCGCACGTCCACACACGTGTGCGAAACTAGGGTTTAACAAGGGGGAGAAGAAGAAGAAAACAGCGATTGGGTTTGAGGTGTTGCAGAATTTGACAATGGCAGAAGTAGAAGACACTCTTCAAGCCTCGCCCATGGACGAAACCAAAAACAAGATTAAGAAACATAAGAAGAAGCGCGACAAAAAAAGGCCTCGCGATATTGCTACCGAGGAGCTTCCGGAAGAAGAAGAGAATGGGAATAATTCAGATAGCGATGGCGAATCCTCGAAGAAGGAGAAGAAGAAGAAGAGG